TCTAGTCTAGTCTATAGTCTAGTCTATAGTCTAGTCTATAGTCTAGTCTATAGTTCTAGTCTATCGTCTAAGTCTATAGGTCTAGTCTTATAGTCTAGTCTATTAGTCTAGTCTATAGTCTAGTCTACTCTATTAGTCTAGTTCTATAGTCTAGTCTATTAGTCTAGTCTATAGTCTAGTCTATAGTCTAGTCTATTAGTCTAGTCTATAGTCTAGTCTATAGTCTAGTCTATAGTCTAGTACTATAGGTCTAGTGTCTATAGTCTAGTCTATAGTCTAGTTCTATAGTCTAGTCTATAGTCTTAGTCTATAGTCTAGTCTAGTCTAGTCTACAGTCTAGTTTAGTCTAGTCTATAGTCTAGTTCTATAGTCTCGTCTATAGTCTTAGTCTATAGGTCTAGTCTATAGTCAGGTCTATAGTCTAGTCTATAGTTCTAGTCTAGTTTAGTCTATAGTTCTAGTCTATAGTCTAGTCTATAGTCTAGTCTATAGTCTAGTCTATAGTCTAGTCTATAGTCTAGTCTATAGTCTAGTCTATAGTCTAGTCTATAGTCTAGTCTATAGTCTAGTCTATAGTCTAGTCTATAGTCTAGTCTATAGTCTAGTCTATAGTCTAGTCTATAGTCTAGTCTATAGTCTAGTCTATAGTCTAGTCTATAGTCTAGTCTGTAGTCTAGTCTATAGTCTAGTCTATAGTCTAGTCTATAGTCTAGTCTATAGTCTAGTCTATAGTCTAGTCTATAGTCTAGTATATAGTCTAGTCTATAGTCTAGTCTATAGTCTAGTCTATAGTCTAGTCTATAGTCTAGTCTATAGTCTAGTCTATAGTCTAGTCTATAGTCTAGTCTATAGTCTAGTCTATAGTCTAGTCTATAGTCTAGTCTATAGTCTAGTCTATAGTCTAGTCTATAGTCTAGTCTCTAGTCTATAGTCTAGTCTATAGTCTAGTCTATAGTCTAGTCTATAGTCTAGTCTATAGTATAGTCTAGTCTATAGTCTAGTCTATAGTCTAGTCTATAGTCTAGTCTATAGTCTAGTCTATAGTCTAGTAGTCTAGTCTATAGTATAGCCTATAGTCTAGTCTATAGTCTAGTCTATAGTCTAGTCTATAGTCTAGTCTATAGTCTAGTCTATAGTCTAGTCTGTAGTCTATAGTCTAGTCTATAGTCTAGTCTATAGTCTAGTCTATAGTCTAGTCTATAGTCTAGTCTATAGTCTAGTCTATAGTCTAGTCTGTAGGCTATAGTCTAGTCTAGTCTATAGTCTAGTCTATAGTGTAGTCTATAGTCTAGTCTATAGTCCAGTCTATAGTCCAGTCTATAGTCTAGTCTATTGTCTAGTCTATAATCTACCCGTTAGTCTAGTCTAAATCTTCCAATAGTAAAATATACATACAAACTTTTTCTAAAACTTTTAAGAAAAAAGAAACCACAAATATAATGTATTTTTTTTAATGTATTTTTCTTTTATACTGTGCTATAATTGGTTTAAATTTTATTAAATCTGTTTTTTCATTATTCACTTGTTTTCTTTGCTATTAAACCATTTAATTTATATTTTTTGATCTGTATATTAAATACATTTGTTTCTATATAGATTTCTAAGTAATATTATCAACTTTAGCAACTGTTTAATACAATTTATATTTTTTCTTGCTTTTAAATAACATTTAATTTAAAGAAGACAAAAAAAATCATTATATTTAATAGTTTTTGCATATATTTTGACTTAATTTTTAAATTTATAATTATTTACATTTAAACATTAAGATACTTTTTTAAAATTTATTTGCAATTTAACAAAAAAGATTTTTAACATACATATTAAACACACACACACAATTAAATAATTATTACATTTAACAATTTAATTACAATTTTCCATATATTACAGACATTAAACATAAACAAATAATAAAAAAAAAGAAAAAATATAAAAAATTACACTTATTTTATTAATTTCTTTAAATAAATTTATAAAAAAAAATAGTTAAAATAAATTATTTTATATATAAAAAAAATAATTAAATTCGAAAGTTTCGTTTATTTTTGTGTTTCAACATAAAACATTTATTAGAATTTAAGAATTTAGTAGCTAAAATTTTAAAAACTTTATTTTTTTAGTTTAAGGTTTATTAAATACTATATAATAAAATATTTACAGATTTACAAAGGGGTTTTAGTTTGTTTATAATATTTTTTTTTTTTGGTTTTTTGAAGAAACAAACTTTTTTTACATTGAGAAGTTAAACAATTTTTTTAAGAAGTTTCAACAAATATTAGAAATAAACTAACAGGACTATATTCTGTAATGTATAGTCTAGTTCAGCATATAGTCCATCCAATAATCTAGACTATAGATTAGTCCATAATCTAATCTATAGTATATTCTATAATCAGGCCTATAGTTTAATACGTAGTCTAATCTATAGCATATAGTGCAGTTGATAGTCTAGCTTATAATCTAGTCTATAGTCTAACACATAGTCTATAGTATAGTATAGTATAGTATAGTCCAGTCTAAAGTCTACTCTAAAGTCTAGTCTATAATCTAGTCTATAGTCTAGTCTATGGTATTATAGATAGTCTAATCTATAGTCAATAGTATAGTCTATAGTATATTCCATAGTTTAGTATATAATATAGTCTAAAGTCTAGTCTATAGTTTAGTCTATAGTCTAGTCTATAGTCTAATCTATAGTCTAGTCTATATTCTAGACTATAGTCAAGTCTATAGTCTACTCTATAGTCTATAGTCTAGTCTATAATCTTGACTATAAACAAGTCTATAGTCTAGTTTATAATCTAGTCTATAGTCTAGTCTATGGTCTAATCTATAGTTAAGTCTATAATCTATGGACTAGACTATAGACTTAACTAGTATATAGTATAGTATGTAGTCTATTCTTTAGTCTAGTCTTTAGTCTAGTCTATAGTCTAGTCTATAGTTTTGTCTATAGTCTAGTCTATAGTCTAGTTTATAATCGAGTCTATAGTCTAGTTTATAGTCTAGTTCATAGTGTAGTACATAGTCTAGTATATAGTCTAGTTTATTGTCTAGTCGATAGTCCAGTTTATAATCTAGTCTATAGTTTAGTCTATAGTCTAGTCTACAGTCTAGTCTATAGTCTGGTGTATAGTCTATTGTGTAGGCAATAGTCTAGCCTATAGTGTAGCCTATAGTCTAGTCTATAGTCTAGTCTATAGTCTAGTCTATAGTCTAGTCTATAGTGTAGGTTATAGTCTAGCCTATAGTCTAGTCTATAGTCTAGTCTATAGTCTAGTCTATAGTCTAGTCTATAGTCTAGTCTATAGTCTAGTCTATAGTCTAATCTATAGTCTAGTCTATAGTCTAGTCTATAGTACAGTCTATAGTGTAGTCTATAGTCTAGTCTATAGTATAGTCTATAGTCTAGTCTATAGTCTAGTCTACAGTCTAGTCTATAGTCTAGTCTAGAGTCCAGTCTATAGTCTAGTTTATAGTCCAGTCTATAGTCTAGTCTATAGTGTAGTCTAGCCAATAGTCTAGTCTATAGTGTATAGTCTAGTCTATAGTGTATAGTCTAGTCTATAGTCTATAGTCTAGTCTATAGTCTAGTATATAGTCTAGTCTATAGTCTAGTCTAGTCTATAGTCTAGTCTATAGTCTAGTCTATAGTCTAGTCTATAGTCTAGTCTATAGTCTAGTCTATAGTCTAGTCTAGTCTATAGTCTAGTCTATAGTCTAGTCTATAGTCTAGTCTATAGTCTAGTCTATAGTCTAGTCTATAGTCTAGTCTATAGTCTAGTCTATAGTCTAGTCTATAGTCTAGTCTATAGTCTAGTCTATAGTGTAGTCTATAGTCTAGTCTATAGTCTAGTCTATAGTCTAGTCTATAGTCTAGTCTATAGTCTAGTCTATAGTGTAGTCTATAGTCTAGTCTATAGTCTAGTCTATAGTCTAATCTATAGTATAGTCTATAGTATAGTCTATAGTCTAGTCTATAGTGTAGTCTATAGTCTAGTCTATAGTCTAGTCTATAGTCTAGTCTATAGTCTAGTCTATAGTCTAGTCTATAGTCTAGTCTATAGTCTAGTCTATAGTCTAGTCTATAGTCTAGTCTATAGTCTAGTCTATAGTCTAGTCTATAGTCTAGTCTATAGTCTAGTCTATAGTCTAGTCTATAGTCTAGTCTATAGTCTAGTCTATAGTCTAGTCTAAAGTCTAGTCTATAGCCTAGTCTAAAGTCTAGTCTATATTCTTGTCTATAGTCTAGTCTATAGTCTAGTCTGTAGTCTAGTCTATAGTCTAGTCTATAGTCTAGTCTCTAGTCTAGTCTAGTCTATAATTTACTCTTTAGTCTAGTCTAATTCTTCCAATAGTAAAATAAAACTTTCTTTTTTAAAATTTAAGATGATTTTGTTAAAACTTCTAATAGTTTTGGTTTTCAAAATATTGTTTTTTAAAATCTCAAAATTTTTCTTAATATTCTATATCAATTGTTAAGTTCAGATTATAGTAATTAGTATATTTTTAGTAAATTCCTTATTGGAATTTATTTAAAAAATATTTGTTTGTTTGGTACCCGTCTTAGCTCCATATAAACTTTTAATATTTAATTTCTTTAAATCTTAAGCTTAAGTAATAATAGGGGTTTTAAACTTAAAACTTTTTTAAAAGACAAAATACTATTTAAGTGTTTCGGTTTTGTTTTACTAAAAACAGCTAAAAAATTGACTTGTTTAAAGTTAAAAAAACAAATATTTGTTGTATACATATTACTACTGAATAATTTAATTATTAGTTTATACAAAGAAACTAATAATAAAGCAGTTTATTAAGAAAAAAACTTATTTAATTTTGCTTTATAAACTGTTTTCATTAATAAGTTTCTTTTGATTATTAAAATTGAAATTATTATGTTTTAAAAATCGTTTAAATTGTTCGTTTTTTGTTTGTTTTTAAACAATTCTTAACAAATTCTGTTTTAAACATATTTTATTTCAAATTTTATTTGGTTTTTTAATGTTTATTAAATAATAACTTAACTTAATAATAAATTGAACTATATTGTTTAGTTATACATTGTTTTTTTTTAATTTAATTATTGTTTAAATATGTGACTATATATTTTCAACTAAGTTGATTGTTTTCTTATAATATTTATTACTTTTATTTAGTTTAAACTTTATAAATATATAGAATAATAGGAAACTTTATTATTTTAGTTAGTAATTAATTATATAATTTAAACGGTATGTATTTCTTATATTTCTCTCGTTTTGCTTTATAAAACATCTAAAGAACAAATTTGTTTTGGATATTAAAAAACTATGTTTTTTTCTATAAATTTATACTGTTTGTTTTTAGAAAAACTATTTATTTTGTTGCTTTAAGTAGTATAATTTACTAAAGAATCTATTTAAAGGTGATTTATTTGGTCAAAAATAAATTAAATTCTTAAGATAGTTTTAACCGTCTGCATGTTTCATAGAACATTTTTAAGCAGATTTCTTTTAAAAAAGATCTATTCCCTTTTGTTGGCTTTATAGACCTTTACAAAAATCTAGTTTATGTTTCCCTTAATGAATTAAACTTATTAATTTAACAAAGTATTAATTTCTTAAATAGTTTATCTTACATACAAGCCCAAACATAATTCTCTTAAATCTTACAAATCCGTCTCTTTAGAAAACCATCACAACAAGCTAACAACAAATCAACCATAAAACAGTTATCGGCAGAGATATATTGCTCTCTATATGGTTTTCTTGGTATTGAATAAACAGTAGCAGTCACTATCTGCCGATATCTGCTATCCGCCCCAACATTATCTCTTTTTCTCTTAAGAGCTCTACTCTCTTTTATTTTTGAAGCCTTTTCATTTATTTATCACATATAGGCGTTTGGGGCGTGGTTGTTATAGATTGACTTGTTTTTGTTGTTGTAGATGATGATGGTGGTGTTGTGGTTGTTGTAATTGCATTGGTATTATTAAAGAAATTGGTGGTAAGAGTTGCAGTCCCATTCGTTTCCGAATGACGACGTGATAATACATTATTTGGCAAGTAATTGAAATGACCATTGGGTACGGCCGCATAGGCAGCACAACCATTAGAGGTAGTCGTAATATGTTGAAAATTTGTATCGAGATTTCCTAACTTACCAACGATTTTTGGTATTTTATCACTTTCCGAAAGAGTGGACTGGTTGGATAGATTCAAACCGGCTCCGGTTGTTGTTAGACCGCCGCCAACGTGACCACCACCACCACCTGCACTACTAGCACCGCTACTGTGATGATGTGAGTGATGATGATGGTGGTGGTGATGGTGATGATGACCATGATGATGATGCGAGTTAGACGAAGAAGTGGAGGAACTGTTATGATGATGATGATGATGGGGTTGATGTTGTGCTGTAGCACTCTGTTGATGACCCGCACCAGTGCCACAGTTTGTCATTGAGGGTGTACTTTTACTATAGGATCTATTACTACCATTTGAACGTATAATTTCATTTGCCCCCTTTAGTGAGGAGGTCTTACGAACACGCATACACTCACAGTTCCTACACGAAGACGAAGTCGAGGAATTGCGCTGCCTTAATATGTTCGAATTAAGACTATCCACATTGGCGGCTATCATCTGGGCCTGTGTTTCGGTTAGAGAACCCTTTTTGGTGGGTGAATTGGGCGAACTATCCTCTTCCCCCGTGGGAGGTGGTGTTGACAATCTACTCGAGGCAGTTGAATAACAAATAGTTGAATGTTCTTGCAACAATTCCGTCTCCGAATCATCATCATCTGCCTCTATGCCCGTCTCATCTTCGTCAGCATCATTTTCTGTGTTTTGATCCACATCTATGGCCTCATCTTCATTTTCCGTTTGCAATTCATTGTTGAGATCACTATTTGGTGTGGGCGTGGCATCTGGTGTATTTGGTATACTTTTGGTGTGTGTGTTGCGTTGGTTTTTATTTCGAACGATGCCATTGCTTTTTTTGTTCTGTTTCGTTTCAACACCTTCGGCGAGTGCAATCCAGTGTTGGCGATTATCGCGAACTCCCTCAACCAGAGGTTCCAGTTTATCGGAAAGTTGTGAAAATGCCTGCAAGAGAAGGGGGACAATTGTTGATGTGAAGTTTACAAATTTATCTCTATTTCCTTTTCAGTCAAAGACTAGTCATAATCTAGTCTAGTCCAGTCATAGTGTAGGCATAGTCTAGCCACAGTCGTCATAGTCTGGTCATAGTCAAGTCATAGTCTAGTCATAGTCTAGTCATAGTCTAGTCATAGTCTAGTCATAGTCTAGTCATAGTCTAGTCATAGTCTAGTCATAGTCTAGTCATAGTCTAGTCATAGTCTAGTCATAGTCTAGTCATAGTCTAGTCATAGTCTAGTCATAGTCTAGTCATAGTCTAGTCATAGTCTAGTCATAGTCTAGTCATAGTCTAGTCATAGTCTAGTCATAGTCTAGTCATAGTCTAGTCATAGTCTAGTCATAGTCTAGTCATAGTCTAGTCATAGTCTAGTCATAGTCTAGTCATAGTCTAGTCATAGTCTAGTCATAGTCTAGTCATAGTCTAGTCATAGTCTAGTCATAGTCTAGTCATAGTCTAGTCATAGTCTAGTCATAGTCTAGTCATAGTCTAGTCATAGTCTAGTCATAGTCTCATAGTCTAGTCATAGTCTAGTCATAGTCTAGTCATAGTCTAGTCATAGTCTAGTCATAGTCTAGTCATAGTCTAGTCATAGTCTAGTCATAGTCTAGTCATAGTCTAGTCATATAGTCTAGTCATAGTCTAGTCATAGTCTAGTCATAGTCTAGTCATAGTCTAGTCATAGTCTAGTCATAGTCTAGTCAAAGTCTAGTCAAAGTCTAGTCTAGTCATAGTCTAGTCATAGTCTAGTCATAGTCTAGTCATAGTCTAGTCATAGTCTAGTCATAGTCTAGTCATAGTCTAGTCATAATCTAGTCATAGTCTAGTCATAGTCTAGTCATAGTCTAGTCATAGTCTAGTCATAATCTAGTCATAGTCTAGTCATAGTCTAGTCATAGTCTAGTCATAGTCTAGTCATAGTCTAGTCATAGTCTAGTCATAGTCTAGTCATAGTCTAGTCATAGTCTAGTCTAGTCATAGTCTAGTCATAGTCTTGTCATAGTATTGTCATAATCTATCACAGCAAGTTTTTGTTTAAACTTACCTCATATATTGGCAAGCATATGGAATCAATAAAGCCAACCTGCATCATGGGTAACTCATCTTCCTTTTCACGGTTCATAATGTCCTTCAATGTAAAAAACAAAGTAAATTAATAACAAATAAAATAATAAAATAAAACAATTAAACTTACAATAGGCGTTATATTCAATTCCTGTTTTTCCATATCACCCTGTTCGAAAAATTCGGAACTAACCAAATCGGCTACACGTTTTTCGATATCCCAGGGTTTTGTTATGGCCGATAAATCACAAACGGTCATGCTCATGGCACGCAATAAAGCTCTTGGCTCTTCATCAACCCAATAGCTCATGGGTTGCTCCTGAACGCACTGCAAAAAGGTGCCACGTTTTCTAAAAAATCCAAAAATTTATAGAGTATTGATTTGAAATTATCCAAAAATATCGAATTCAAACCTTAAATAAACCGCCAAATCGGTAGATAAAATAGCATCTTCTAATACTTTAATGACACGACAATAATCCTCTGAAGATAAATTCGCCAAAATTTGATTACCAGGACTGTTTAAGATCATTAAACACTGATCGAAATGATGATGTTCCATGGTAGAGGTGGAATACAATTGAGCCAAAGGTGAAGAAGCTCTAAAAGTTGAAAAATAAATATAGATTTAAGGAAATCCTTAAGTTTTTTGAATCAAGTAAGAAAAAAACTCACTTAATTTGAAATGAGTTATTGGTCCCCCGATGATCTAAATCATGGCATAAACAGGCTATTATCAATGCCAAACATTCAATTTCACCAAATATCTTCCACCATTGCGTGGCCTGTCCATGATGGGAAATCTTTGATTAGTAAAATCAATTTTTTACATACAAAATTTAAAATAAAATGAAATTAGAAACAGATGAAACTTAAGAAAACAAAATAATAAGAAAAATAATTAAAACAAAGAAAACAGTAAACAAAAACAACACAACAAAAGTGAAACAAAACTAAACAGAACACAACATAGTTCTAACAAAAATCGTAACTTACCGTTAAAATGGCAAACATCATTTGGGCCACATTAAAGGCATGACGCCAATTATGATAAGTGACATTACGATAATTTTTCTTGACACTCAACAGCCAGCGACACAATACCTCGTAGTCAATATGGAAACGTTCCACGAAATCTAAATCCAAAAACATACGCAAACATGCCTGTTGTACAAAAATAAAGAGGGGGAGAAAAGTATTTAATTAAATATTTACTTAAATATTTTCTTTAATAAACTGTACAATAAATAGAAATATTTAATACCTTTAAAGTATCATCATCTTCGAAATGTATATCATCAAAACGGAAATCATGTAACCGGAAATGAGCAGCGGAAGGTACACGTAAGCGCTGAAAAGGGGAAATACAGGATATTATAAACGAATAAATAAAATATTTATGATAAAAATTAAATAAAGAACAGAAATGAAGTGAGAATGAGGGAAATTACCATTCTGAGGGAGAAAGATGAACTAATAATCAATGTTCGATAAATTTAGATTGTTTTGGTTCCGGTCGAATTCGAAATTATAGACTAGACAATAGACTGGACTCTACACTATGTTACAGACTAGAATATATATTAGACTATAGACTATGGACTATACTATAGACTAGACTATAGACTAGACTACAGACTAGACTATAGACTAGACTATAGACTAAACTATGGATTATACTATAGACTAGACTATAGACTAGACTATAGACTAGATTATAGACTAGACTATATACTAGACTATTTACTAGACTATAGACTAGAGTATAGACTAGACTATAGACTAGACTGGACTATAGACTAGATTATAGACTAGACTATAGATTAGACTATAGAATAGACTATAGACTAGACTATAGACTAGGCTATAGACTAGACTATAGACTAGACACTAGACTAGACTATAGACTAGACTATAGACTAAAATATAGACTAGACTATAGACTAGACTATAGACTAGACTATAGACTAGACTATAGACTAGACTATAGACTAGACTATAGACTAGGCTATAGACTAGACTAAAGACTAGACAATAGACTAGGCTATTGACTAGACTAAAGACTAGACAATAGACTAGACTATAGACTAGACTATAGACTAGACTATAGACTAGACTATAGACTAGACTATAGACTAGACTATAGACTAGACTATAGACTAGACTATAGACTAGACTATAGACTAGACTATAGACTAGACTATAGACTAGACTATAGACTAGACTACAGACTAGACTATAGACTAGACTATAGACTAGACTATGGATTATACTATAGACTAGACTATAGACTAGACTATAGACTAGACTATAGACTAGACTATAGACTAGACTATAGACTAGACTATAGACTATAGACTAGACTATAGACTAGACTATAGACTAGACTATATACTAGACTATTTACTAGACTATAGACTAGAGTATAGACTAGACTATAGACTAGACTAGACTATAGACTAGACTATAGATTAGACTATAGAATAGACTATAGACTAGGCTATAGACTAGACTATAGACTAGACACTAGACTAGACTATAGACTAGACTATAGACTAGACTATAGACTAGACTATAGACTAGACTATAGACTAGACTATAGACTAGACTATAGACTAGGCTATAGACTAGACTAAAGACTAGACAATAGACTAGGCTATAGACTAGACTAAAGACTAGACAATAGACTAGACTATAGACTAGACTATAGACTAGACTATAGACTAGACTATAGACTAGACTATAGACTAGACTATAGACTAGACTATAGACTAGACTATAGACTAGACTATAGACTAGACTATAGACTAGACTATAGACTAGACTATAGACTAGACTATAGACTAGACTATAGACTAGACTATAGACTAGACTATAGACTAACTATAGACTAGACATAGACTATAGACTAGACTATAGACTAGACTATAGACTAGACTATAGACTAGACTATAGACTAGACTATAGACTAGACTATAGACTAGACTATAGACTAGACTATAGACTAGACTATAGACTAGACTATAGACTAGACTATAGACTAGACTATAGACTAGACTATTGACTAGACTATAGACTAGACTATAGACTAGACTATAGACTAGACTATAGACTAGACTATAGACTAGACTATAGACTAGACTATAGACTAGACTATAGACTAGACTATAGACTAGACTATAGACTAGACTATAGACTAGACTATAGACTAGACTATAGACTAGACTATAGACTAGACTATAGACTAGACTATAGACTAGACTACAGACTAGACTATAGACTAGACTATAGACTAGACTGTAGACTAGACTAGACTAGACTAAACTGATTATAGACTAGACTATAGACTAGACTATAGACTAGACTATAGACTAGACTATAGACTAGACTATAGACTAGACTATAGACTAGACTATAGACTAGACTATAGACTAGACTATAGACTAGACTATAGACTAGACTAAACTATAGACTAGACTATAGACTAGACTATAGACTAGACTACAGACTAGACTATAGACTAGACTATAGGCTAGACTATAGACTTGACTATAGACTAAACTATAGACTAGACTATAGACTAGACTATAGACTAGACTATAGACCAGACTATAGACTAGACTTTAGACTAGACTATAGACTAGACTATAGACTAGACTATAGACTAGACTATAGACTAGACTATAGACTAGACTATAGACTAGACTATAGACTAGACTATAGACTAGACTATAGACTAGACTATAGACTAGACTATAGACTAGACTATAGACTAGACTATAGACTAGACTATAGACTAGACTATAGACTAGACTATAGACTAGACTATAGACTAGACTATAGACTAGACTATAGACTAGACTATAGACTAGACTATAGACTAGACTATAGACTAGACTATAGACTAGACTATAGACTAGACTATAGACTAGACTATAGACTAGACTATAGACTAGACTATAGACTAGACTATAGACTAGACTATAGACTAGACTATAGACTAGACTATAGACTAGACTATAGACTAGACTATAGACTAGACTATAGACTAGACTATAGACTATAGACTAGACTATAGACTAGACTATAGACTAGACTATACATTAGACAATATACTAGACTATAGACTATAGACTAGACTATAGACTAGACTATAGACTAGAATATAGTCTAGACTATAGACTAAACTATAGACTAGACTATAGACTAGACTATAGACTACACTATAGACTAGACTATAGACCACACTATAGACTAGACTATAGATTAAACTATAGACTAGACTATAGACTATACTATAGACTATAGACTAGACTATAGGCTAAACTATAGATTAGACTACACTATCACTAGACTATTACTAGAATATCATTAGACCATCACAAGACTATTATTAGACTATCACTAAACTATCACTAGGAAATCACAAGTCACTAGACTATCACAGGACCATAACCAGACTATCACAGAACTATAACTAGACTATCACTTGACTATGACTAGAAAAATAGTATTTTGACTATTGTGTTAGTATCAATGCCGATATAGTTCAATGTTTACTGCCAATTAAAATTATTTATAATCAAAAGTTTTTCGAATGTAGTTTTCCTTATAACACAAAAATGTTCACATTAATCTTAGGAGAAGTATGCACAAGAGCAGAAAAAAACTAAAACAAAGAAAAGCATCATCAATTGGCATAAATCAACATGTCTCAATTACTTGTCCCAAAAGCTTTACAATTTGAATTGCTTCAGCTGTTTTATTTGTAGTTTATATTTGTAGTTCGTTTTTTCTTCCTTTTCCCAACATGTATTTACTACATACACAAGTATTATGAACAAATTGAAGCTGAATGTCAGAAGCCAAAATGAAATATGGTTTAAGAAGACATTGTTGATGCTGCTTGTGTTACTGCTGATACATATTGGTAGCAATGGTGACCATGAACATTTTAGATGCTTGTTAAAAAAAATATATAAAAGAAAATAATATAATAATTGAAATTCTAATGCTAAAACAAAACTGGCAATTGATTTATGGGACTTAAAAGAAAAATCTCTGAAAACATTCTATTAAAAAAAGGATTTCTAAAGGGCAACAAGGGACAAAATAAAGCTGAATCTTAATTGTTTTACAGGAAAAACGATGGGTCTAAATAATGGGATTCTTAGGCGAACGAAAATTTATCGAAATGCCAATTAACACACTTAATCCTTTGGAAAGCTTTTAATGTATTTCCTTTTAGCAGGAAAAAAATAACAACAACATAAATAAATAATGGAAACTTTAGGGGAAGAGTAATAGGGAATAAATATTATACATAATTTATTGACCATTTTTTTAGTATTTTTCTATTTCCTATTGGGTTTACCACAGATTTAAACAGCGGCTTTTGTTTGTTTTCATTTTATATACTCCAAGTCAGTTGGTAAGAAATTGTTAAACTTTTTATTAAAGTTTTTAAGAACCTTTTTTTATATATATCACTTTTTTAAAGCCGCTTTAAGGGAAGACCTTTATCAAAGTATTAGACATATTATAATGTCGTTTTAATTTCTCAAACAATTTAAGATTTTTTATTTAGATCTTTTTTGTTTTTTTTTTTTTTTTTTTTTTTTTTGTTAACCACAGATTTTAATTTAAATTTTTGTCTGTGATTTGTTGGATGCGCATGTTTTATGTTGCAAAACCAACGAAAAGATTAAAAAGTTTCATTTCATATAAATGACACATTGGTGGGTATGAATTTAAAAACAACCAGAAGGGAAAATATGAATTACTGAAACCAAAATTATGGTTAATAAGGAAAGTAAACAGTTATACAATTTAAATCTTTTGTGATAGAATCTAATAAGAAGTTTTAAAGCGCTTTATAAAATCATAATATAAAACAGCTGATTTTTTTTAGATGGAAATTTTAAATAAAATTATAAAAAATCTGCAAAGGTACACATTACTCTCACTATGAATAGATTATACTCTGGACTATAGACAGACTAGATAATAGCCTAGATTACATACTATATACTAGAATATATTGTAGTCTAAACTAGACTATATACTAAATAATAGAATGGACTAAAAACTAAAATATAGACTATAGACTAGACTATAGACTAGACTATAGACTAGACTATAGACTAGACTATAGACTAGACTATAGACTAGACTATAGACTAGACTATAGACTAGACTATAGACTAGACTATAGACTAGACTATAGACTAGACTATAGACTAGACTATAGACTAGACTATAGACTAGACTATAGACTAGACTATAGACTAGACTATAGACTAGATATAGACTAGACTATAGACTAGACTATAGACTAGACTATAGACTAGA